CAAGTGTAGTGTGTAACATTCAGGAAGATCTGTTGTCAGAAATTGGTCTAATATTCAATTGTTTCGAACCCCAACTCTTTACTTACTCACATCCAGATCCGCACTCGCCGAGCCCTGTGGTCCCACAAAAAAGCTAATTCCTGCATCCAACCTTTAAGCATTGAAACAACATCATTATTAATTTTACTAGTTGGAAGTTATGTATTTACATTAATTAAGTACTCTGCTGCTTATAATTATGATATCATATATTTTTTATTGTCAGGAGCTTTTTTGATTTTGTAATGTCATGTGTCATGATGTAAATTGTTATGGTGCATTTTTACAATGTAAAGCTTTTTGTGGATGCCAGCAAGAATAGCTGCTGCAGTCCTGTAGCAAATGGGGACCTAATGAACTTAACTTAACTCACCATGTCTGAGCCACTGGGTGCTGGTCAGGGTGCCCGTCATGCCGCCAGCCAAGCCCCGCCCCCCTGTGTCCCTCCGCTGGCTCAGTGTGGAGATAAAAGTGCCCAGAGACGGAAACGGCTGCTTAGCTCCTCGCCCAAAACCCTGGCGCAGGAAGATGACATCATCACCACAAGGAACACATAAGAAAAAATTATGTTTGTTCAAGACAAGTGTGACCACCTTGACATACACTCACACACCTAGTACTAATATCTTTTTTGTGTGTGTGTTTATTGTTTCATGTGTCTATTAAAATAAAAACACAATTGTTATCAACAAAAAAATGGGTATATCTGTTTGGCTTGATATTTCTGTCAGGAAAAAGAAGAGCTTAGTCAACAGTATCTCTGCAAACACAATTGGGCAGAAACGAAAATTAGTGAGTTATGAATTGCTGAAACACAAAAAACTAAAAATGAAACTGATGTTTGCATTTTTAAAAGTATAATGTGAGTAAAGGAAACAACAAAATTCAAGTACACAATACCACTGGTATAAGAAATATCTATATATATAGGCTTATTTTTTAAAATACTTTTTACTCATATAGAAAAACCTTATTGAGCCCTAAAAATATATGTTTTGTAAAGAGTTGTTTAAGTTCAAATTTATTTGTAGAGGACCATTTCATATACGTAGTTTGAACTTTACAGGTTGACATTTTCAGCACAAGTAACATTTTATTATTATTTATTGATTGGGTTGTGTTGTTATCGTTGTTGTTATATATATGAAATTTAGTTATATGTTTTTATCGTTATGTGAGGGCACCATTTAAAACAGAATTGAAGGGTGCTTTGAACAGACGAAGCAAAAATGATTAGGCCGTGATGACACAAAAATGTGTATTAAATGTAAAAGTATTAGAACGAATAAAT